CAAAATAGTGTTGTTGCTGAGGAAGCATCTCTAGAGTTTCATAACAGGGGGAAAGCAGAGGGTGAGGCTGGTCTGAGACAGCAAGTAGGAAAACTTCCACACCATGCAATAGGAAATTGCGTGGCTGAGAACCAGTCACAGGAACAGACTTTGCCACCCGTAGGCTGTGTTTTCCTGTGACACTTACTGCGATTATACTTGAATGCAGTCTCTTGTGCAAACCTCGTTGTGCTATACCAAAGCCAAGGCATCTGTACAAGGACAAGTGGCACTGCTGTTCAAATCAAGTAGACATACAGTACCTGCAATGCCATGTGAACTGTCTGCTGTATCTGAGATTGGTCTTTGAAATCACGAAATAATATACTACTTCTGCTTGATTCTGCAACTTAGCAGAGCGTAGTTTGCTTCGCTGACGATCACCGTGTCTCAGCTCAACAGCGTTTTCATGCTGTGTCTCTTCTAATTTACCCACTTCTTTTAGTGCTAATGCAGTTTCTGAGCTCTGCTCAACCCTGCTGCCTCTCTGCCTCTCCCTAGGGCCTGCACACTGGTCTTTTTTTTTTTCCAAAATACAATGAATGTTTGCAGCAAAGACTGAGTTGAGCAGTTGCATAAACTGACCTGAAATCTCTGAGGTCAGTGTAAATCACAAACCAGAGCTCAACATCACAAGGTTGTGTCTGAGTGGCACTTGCAAACTGCTCATGTGCAGCAATGTAGTGGGGCAGAGCATCTGCCAGTGCCCACAAGTACTGGGGTACTATTGCAGTAGCATAACAGGCTTTGTTGGGTGGATTCAGCAACACCAACGGCTTCTACAGGTAGGGAAACAACATCTCATTGTAGAAGAGCTGGGATAGGGGTCCAGTCATGCCTCTATTTTTTTCCCTGAGGAGGGGCAAGTTCTTTCCCCATGAAGCCTTATTTTTCACCAAAGAGAGAGATTTAGAGGAAACTTTTCCAATATGTGCTTAGGCTGACGTTTATAGCCCTTTGCTTCAGCTCAAAAGGATTTGTGTGTCTAAAAGCTCTTCTGTTTTTTTTTCTAGCTGTATCATTTGTCTAACACCAGCTGTTACCTTTCCCTGATAGTCCTGCCTCAAAGTCAACAGCAACTTACCAAAATAATAGGAGCTATTCTCTTCTGCTCTCTGTACAGCTCTGTGTGCCCCTACTTGCTCACTTACTGCTATTCCTTGTTGTTGGAAGGGCAGATTCTGGCACCAACAAGCCTTTGTCTTATTTTCTGGCAAACAACCTCAGTCTGCAACAAGGCAGGAAAGGCAAACAGTGAAGAAACAAGAGCTGGTAAAGCTAGGGTTAGAGGAGAAGGTTAACTTCTGGTGGCTTCTTTTTTCACCACTGAGTTTGATGGGAGAAAGGTTTTGTATAGGCACTGCATGTGTGGAAAGCACACTCCCTCCACCCCCTCGAGGGTAGGTGGCAGCTGGCATTCGCAACCTGTTTAATAATACAGGTTCTCCAGAATGGCTGTGCGCTCATTTTCCATCGCTCACAGCCTCCTTGCCTTCATGCTTATCCTTTTAAATCCTTGGGCCTCGCCTTTGCTCCCCGGGCACCCAGGTCTCAGCAGGACAAAGAAGCCTCCCTGGGTGCTGCAGTGGGACCCCAGGGTGGTCACTGGGGCAGTGCCTCCCTCCTGCCTGCCCCTCAGCCCTCCCAGTGACCACTTTGGTTGCCGTGAGTTTTGGAGGGAGCTCAGGAAACTCTTCACGTCATGGGTCTGGGTGCCTCAGTGTGAGTGGGTTGGTGGCTGAGCCACATTCTGGCCCTGCTTATGAAGGCTGGGCTCCAGCCCAGGATATCGCCCATCATTTGTGGCAGGAAGAGGAGGTCCAGAGGACTCTCTATCCCTGCTGAACGGGGACAAAGCTCCTGAGGCCAGTCAGCACCCTGCTAACAGAGCCCCAGCAGAACGAGGGGTCTGGCCATAGAGGAGAACTCAGGGTCTGAGTCAAGCGGAGTACTACTCCCACACACACCACTCACATACTGTCAGGGTTTGTTGGCTGCTCAGAGCCCCTTCAAGGGAGGATCCCATGCTGCCTCTGGGAAAGCCAAAGCCCATGGAAAGCCCATTTGATTCACTGATGAGCATGCTGCCCTTCTGCAGTGGGCACTGTGTTGTCCCTAGCTGCTGGGAGAGGGGAGCGGGACTGACCTGTGCCAGCAAAGCCTGGCAGAATGGTGGCATGTGGTTGCAGAGTGACATGGTCTGCCTGCTAAAAATGCTGCCTTTCAGTGAAGGTGATCCAGAGTCCTGTGGAGCAGAACACATACTCAGAGGGGAAGCTGATGAGAGATGTAACTTCCATTGCAAAACAACTCCTGCTTTTTTGATCTGTATTATGACAGGTGAATGGTATCAGACCCTTTGTTAGCCACATCCCAGTTGTCCATTTTCCCTGACTTCCATGGTCAGTCCCATCTATTCCACTTCCCTTGGGAAGCTTCCTAAATATTTATCCCAGTGATCAATCATATGACCCTACTGTAGCAATGTGATACAGCTTTAGTTGTGCTAATCAGCTTAGCTTGGGCCCCTGACCCCTGTCATCTTATTTTAGGAGAAAACTTTACACAGTGCCTGGTAAGGGCTGTTCAGTCCAGAGGATTTAAATCCAAAGTGAGAAATAGCGACACAGACTTTTGCTTTTTTATTTTGTAGTCAGAACTCAGTTTACCATTATTCTGATTTGTCATTTCTCTAGGAGGAGTTGAGCTTTGAATAACAGGCAAAAGTTTCAATTGCATGGTAAAATATTTGACTCTTTTGACTCAACAAAAAAACACCCTAGATAGTAAGAGATGCTCAGTCATCCAAATGGACTTGGATGCTGAATCACTTCCCTCCTTTCTCCTCTGAGCTCTAAATGAGGTCCTTTCAAGCAAAATGGACTGTAGAGGAAAGAATAGTGTCTAGTGCAGGAGACTGGAAACATTTGTCTTGAACCTCTGGGGGTTTTGTGGGGGAGATATCAGAGGAAGTTGGATCTAAAGAGACGTGTATTCTTGGAGTGTTTTTTTCTCCACAGAGAGACATTTCTACTCCAAAGCACCAGGAAAAGTCAGAGATGAATGAGCAGCCACGACCAGCCAAGACCTCAGCTCATCAGCTGGTCAGCCACTTCTACTCGTGGTGGAAACTATGCTGATACCTGAGTCTCTTTCCAATGCTCAGGGAGTGCAGTGCAAGCCCTACAGACATTATATGAAAATATGAACTATATCATGCCTGGAGAAACTTGCTTTATTGTAGACATGAGTTCTAACAACATCACTCCATAATCTCTGAAGAGAACAGACTGGCTTTGTAAGGGAGAGATAGATGAAGGCAAATTAACCATACTGAGAGCAAATTAACTGTACTGGAGTAAAAGAACAACTGGAAATATGTTGTTGTGTAAGAGGAGGATCTGACAGAAATTGAGCACTTTCTAAAGCCTGGGAGCTACTATCAGTGGTGACTTCTGTCATCAGCCCTGCCAGTGAATGCCCAGTGGGCTGCCAGGGCAGGGAACATCTCCAGACCCGCCTGAGGACTTGCCCAGCCTAGTTGCTGCAGCAGCCTCATCTCCTGAGTTTCTGAAGCACCATCTGGACGCAACAGGAAGATTTTCAAACTCTGTTTGCCACATCTCCAACCCTTCCCCCTCCCTGTGAAGCATGTCTTCGAGTCAGTTAACTATCCTGCTTTCTCAGCAGATGAAAAGATCCTCATTTTTAGCATCCCAGGGAAGACATGGCAACTGCCCAGGTGTAGTAGCAGACTTTGAACATCCTCAAGGTTTTGAACTTGTGTTGTCCTCTTGACACCCATGACTTGAATATAGTCTGGAACTGATTAACTTGGTTCCTTCAATCTCTGGAAGGGAATGTTCTTTCTGCAGTTAAATATTTACTCATCACTGTGCATAGACCAGGAATTACAGAAGCCTGGGCAGCATTTGCATTTTCTCCCCATCAATTGAAATTAAAAGGATCATCCTCTAGTATTTTAGTGCTGCCACTTCCATCCTTGGTGGTAGTCCAGTCATGCCCTGTTCAACTTAGCTATCCTGTTAACTTCAGCAACATTCCTAAACCATGAGATTTGTAGCCCACACCATGGGGAGCCCACGTTGCACATCCAACAGATTCCTCGGTTCCAAAGGATATGGCATAAATCCCATTTCTGAAAATCATGTGTCTCTAGCACTTACAAATGCCTTTGCATGGCATTGCTTTGGGAGAAGTCGAGCTCCTCCCTCCCCAGTCTTCCACTGGCAGAAGGAGTTTTATGGTAAAAGTAATTTCTATCTTAGGTAGCACCACAGTGAAGTGGTTGAAATGAGAAAATCTGAAACACTGATAGGAGCTTTTAGAAATACTGGGATATCCCTATCTTCCCACCAGTTCCTACCTGCTGTAAATGCTGGGGTGTCTACCTCTGACATGCTAATATACCCAACAGATACATATCACCCCTCTCCACTGCTGCTCAGTGTCAGACTGCTCCATCCTGACCATGGCAGGCCAGAGAGAACTGTTTGCCAGCCCCAGCACTGGGTCTGGCCCCTGGGACACCAGCAGGTTGGCACTGCTGGATCTGTGGCAGGGAGTGAAGAGAAGCCAGGAGGTGTTTTGGCTCCATTCCAGGCTGAGTAAACACAGCAGCTTTTTCCTGGGAATAGGTGTAGTCCCTGACTAGGGTATTGATGGCAGTGATGTCCCTGTTGCTCCTCCTGGTAGAAGGAGTCTCCTGCTTCCTCTGGCTCAGGCAGGGGCTCCTTTTCTTTTTTTTTTTCACCCTCATGGCACCCTGCTATTAGCTTACCATTTCGGTCACCAATGACAGCAACCAAAAAATAATACTACTGTACTCAGTTAATCCATAGGAAAATCCCAAATCAGCACACAAAAGGTGGAGATGGTGCTCATGCATTTTCCCCCAAGGGCCTTAGGCAATGGAAATTTTCTCAAGCTCCATTCATTAACAAAATAGATGAGCAGTTATGTAAGGTCATGTGAGGAAAGTGGTTGGTCTTTGGTCAATGAAAGAGTTAGTCACACATCATTGAGCTGGATGGCCCTGGGAGGAAATGTGGAGCCACTCTTTGTGTGTTCAAGGACTGCAGAGGGAGAACTTCAGCCATAATTCCTCACTACCCCCTGAGCTTAGGCCTCCCCTTTACAGACTAGGCATTGCAGGAGGCATCTGGTGGTGTTAACCAGAAAATAGGGAGTTGAAGTTTGTTGAGATCCTCCCCACCTTCCTCTTCCCAAATCACTCAACCCTCCTCTGAAGGAATTAAGCAACCACCTGATGATTTTAGGGTGCAAATGTGCTGTTGTGCATCCCCCCCAGCTCATCTGCTCTGGAAGCACTCGGAGGGTAAGTAAAAGAACATAATACAATTTGGCAGTGACAGGGAAGATAAAAATCTGTATTAGGGCTCTCAGGAACTACTAGAACATTACTAGGACATTCAGCTGGGGGAAGATTTTCAAGGATCCCTTCTGGAACTTGCCCATTACCAAAGTGGTTTGGATTGTTGTCTCTCCCACTTTGAATCAAAGATGATGCCATGATACAGAATTTCACTGGGACTGACTGTAGGAGAGAAGATAGGGCACTGATTGGGATCCACACTTCAGTACTCAGTTAGATGTGGTCTGGAATAATATTCTCCCACTTCTCACTGGCTCTCATCCTCTCCCCCTGTAGCCCAGTCAGGAGTCCTCCAGTCCCCTGAATTTGGGTTACCTTGACCCCTTGGCTCTTCTCAGCTTCTGCTTTGGGGCTTGCAGATCTGATTTAGACAATGATGTCTTGCAGAAGACAATTAAATCAGCTTTGTTCCCTCTCATTTGCTCTAATCCCTGGATGCTGAATAACCAGCTTCAACCTGCTTGTGTACTTTCACCTTGCAGCCAATCTCTTGAAGGTCATTTGAGACCATTGGACTAGCAGGGCAGCAAGGCTTGCCTGGCAGCCTCCACGGGACATGGAGCAGCAGTCACCTGGCACAAGCTATCAGTAGGACTCATGGCCTGATGAGTGCGGAAGAGGGCTGGAAAGGAAACTCATGTGGGGCAAGTAAGGAGAATGTGGCTGTCAGGTTGTACCCAAATCACAGTTCGATGCCTGAGGGCATTACACCTGGTAATAAGGTGTAATCCCCGCAAACCAAAGTCCCTCCCACATTTGCTGGTCTGCCCCGAGTGCTGAAATTGTGAAACCCTGGAAACCTGCTGTGGAGAGGACACCCTAACCCACCTGAAACCACGGAAACATGCTGCCAGGAGGACACCCTAACCCATTCGGGTGGTGCTGCAGTGCAGGGAACAGATTCAGTCCTCAGTAAAAGCTCAGCTGTCTCCCTGAGCAGATGGTTTCCAGGAAGAGCCACATTCCTGACTGTGAGGAACTGAAAGGACTGTGTATGGGATATGCCTTAAAATAGACAGAGATATAGAAACAGAGTTCAGGTCCTAGGCAGAGAGAACTTGATGGCATCTCAGGCGTTTGTTCAGGAAGGGAAGTGCTGCTAAAACTGCAACTGCGTCAGCCTTGGCTACAAGTGTCCCTGATAAACCTAGGGTTGTTTTCACTTAAGCAAAGTATTCTAGTTGAGATTTTTTTCCTGATAAATTTCTTTCTGCTTTATTGTTTTCTACTTCTCTAAAAACCAAGCTAAGGGAGTAATAGATTCCCCCTTTCCCAAAGGTTTGAGATATTGTGGAAAGAGATGTATCTTGAATTTGGAGAAAAAGCTAGTCTCTAACTTTTCAAAGAATTGATATCTTGCTGGTGGAAAAAAAAGCCCTTTCTGAAATATTTTTGAAATATTTTATTTCAGTAACTTTAAAATGATCTATTTAGAACCTTTTCAATATATCTAGCCTTCTGTATTTGAACAACTAAGTATTGTAAATCTGTGGTGAAATTTTTTTCTTAAAAAAAAAGTCTAAATACTTAGAAAAGGGATGCCCTCAGCAGTATTTCAAGGTGACAAGTTCTTTGAAAGCACCTCTTCCCCAGAAATTATTTGATTGTGAGGAACAGGCATTAAAATTTGAGAAAAATTTGGCAAAAAGTTTCCAGCAAATTCTCCTAAAACCTATAAAACAATTCCTGGCCATTTGCAAACCAAACAGTGATGGGTTGCAAGATGGAGCTTCTTGTTGGTAGCGGGAGAACTCAGATGAATTTTGGCTTCCATTCTTATTCTTGCTACATAGTTCAGGTTTGCTCTTTGAAATAGTTCCTATATGACCCCTGTTGAAATAATACACCACAGTGCCTGTTGTTTTGGTAAAATATTCAGAGCATGCAGAGTCTGCAGTGTTTGAAGAGCTGTTGGGACAACACACCTCAGGTAAGAGGACCCCAGCACTAGTTAGGGCACAACATCAGTGAGCGGAAGGAGAAATCAGTTTTTCCTTACTGCCCACCTGCTGCTTAGCTCTCCGACCAGCACATCCTGACTGCCTTACAGTGTCTGCTGGAACGTGTGGCACCAGGAGAACATGTGAGTTAATTATTAAACAAAATGGAGTCATTATGCCCTGTGTCACTGCTGTTCCTCACATAAATCTGCTGCATGGTAGACAAATGATCCTGTGCAATGAGAACAAAGAAACCTTTTCAGGATGAACACATTTTCCTATGCAGGAGAGCTGCTCCCACTTCACCTCCCTGGAACTAGAAGAGTGATGTACTTGGCCTCCATAAAGGTGGGGGGTTTGGGAAAGACAAATGAAAGTGATACAGAGCCTCAGGGCACTGATTTCCATGAATGATCTCCCCAGCTGTTAGCCTAGGTTTGGAGCTATTTCCTTTTAGAGAATACATTTCTACTAGCAACATTTCAGAGTCTGGAAGGAAATATTTTAAAGTTACCTTTGGCATTTCAAGGCTAGCACAATTTCCACCAAGCTTCCCTTGAATGTCTAGATAAAATATTAACTCCTGGACGAGGTACAGAGGCCCTGCAGGCTGTCAAACAGTAGCACAGTTAAGGAGACAGACTCTGGGACACAGATGGTGAGATAACATCCAATACTTTAAAACCCATCTGTGATTAGTTTCACTTGACTGACACAAAAGAAAAAATGAAGACTTAGAGGTAAGATCCACAGATGCCAACAGCCAGGGAAGGAGTCCTCTTATCTGAAATAGCTGGTCACCTCAGCTCTGTAAGGGGATAGTAGAGAGCCATTCTGGTTTCTCTGCTGTGAAGCCTCTCTGAAGCTTCTTCTCTTACACAGTGGGGAAAGGGTCTCTCCTCTGTGGCTGCTAAGCCTGGCAGGCTTGGGAGACCTAGGAAGGGCATGTGCTGTGGTAAAAAGAGTGTAAGGTCTGAGTCTCCAGCAGACCTCCGATGTGTCCACAGGCTGCAGGAAGGCCCTGGCTGAGGGTTAGGAGTGGAGATGCTGACAGTGGGGTGGGTCAGGCCAAGGGACACAGGTCTATCTCAGATGTTTGGCTTGTGTCCATAACGTGGTGTTTGGGTACTGTGTGGAGACAGAGGCCCGAGTGTCCGCCTTTCACCACTCGGCATAATGGCCCTGTGGAGGCAGAGCTGGGCAGGGTGGCTAGGAGGAAACACATAGGCAACACTGCCCGTTTCCCTGGGAATTTAATTCCTGAGGATCTGTGCTCCAAGCACTTTTGCAGGCAGTCTCTGTACTTGACTCAAGGCATTATGCTGTCCCTCTCTTCACTGGCCAGTGCCAAGATGAGTTGGTCCTTTGCTGCTCTAGTCAAAAACAGCAGATGCTTTGGAAGGAGTCCCTCCCCTTTGCCACATGCTGTAATAGCAGGGAAACAGAAACATAGAGGTCCTGTGGCCTAGGCAAAGCCAAAAAGCAAAGGGACTGGCAAGGCTGACCATGGCAGCCAGGACTCCTGCCTCTTGGGAAACAGCCACTGGCTTACAATATTACTTCTCTGAATGTTGTTTAAAGGGACAACACAGAGCACACGCTTGCTCCTGCTGGGCTCAGTCAGCTGTGTTTGTGGTGGCTCTTGCTTTTCTTCAAGAGTTTACCTTGGCTCTTTCCCTACTGCTTCACTGGCACCCTGTGAAAGGACTGCAGTGACCCTTGTCCCCTGGATGCAGGAGTGCCTGGAGTAGACTGAGGAGTCAAGAAATGTGCATGCTCCAGAGCTGGCTAGCTGTGCTCACAGGCCTGCTGATGCCCAGCCATGACTGGATGTGAGGCATGCAGTGAGGTCCTGTCCCACTCCTTGCACATCTCACACACTTTAGCAGTGCTGTGCTGCGTCCAACTCCCTCATCTGTGATCCACGGGCTGCACATGGTGGCCCAGCTTGCTCAGTAACCTCTCAGCTGTGATGTTGGGCTTCATCCCCTGTGTGGTGCTGGCTGTTGCTGCCTGCCTGATGAGGCACCTGCTTCACTGACAGCTCACACCTCCAGAGCCACCCAGCCGTACACTGCCTTTGCTTCAGGGATGCAGATGCTGTGTGAGAGCTCTGTAGTAACCTGAAAAGAATGTTCAGCGGGCTGCTGAGAAAAGGAAAGCTAGTGAGAAAAGGAATTGACACCTGGAACTCCAGGGCTGTGTGGTCCATTTTATCACTGACTTTCCTTCACTCTGCTCTCCCTCCTCCTTCTCCAGACAGCATCACAGGGAGATGGCATGAAGAGGCCCATATCTGCAAAGACCGGGAAAAGCCTGGACGTGAATAAAAGGCACAGCTGAAAGTCTGGCCTACTTCAGGGTCACTGCACTCTTTCATTCCTCCCTGAAGCAAGCGAGGGCATATCCCTTCACAGGAAGCAGGGGCAAAGCCCACTTCCTTGCCTGTGCTCTGAGTTGGCTGGATGTGAAATAGTTCCAGTTCAGGGGAGACATAGGTACAAAAGACCTGTGACTGAGCTGAACCCTGCCTCTTGGTTTCTGTAGTCCACTTGCTTTCTGATTCCCTATGTTTACTGTTAGCATGAGCCATAAAGGAGCTTTCGTCTCTTTTTCCTCTCTGTCTCCCTCTGAACAACACAGAGGTCGTGTGTCACCAACCAGTTCTGGACAAGACCTAACTGCAAAATATGTTAAATGAATGTTAGTCCTCTATTTCCAAAATCGGCTGACCCAGAAAGGTGCAAGTACACACAGGAAAATCCCCTCTAGTGCCTTCCCCATTGGGATTTCTTGGAAGTTTAGCCGGCTGAGTAGAGCAAGCTGGTTGCTCTCAGGTCATTCTGGACTGGTTCCCAATGACCCTCTGAGCTGTGCCTCTCCCCTGCCTCCCTGCTTGTCAGAGTCTCGGTCTAACTCTTGCAGAGGGACAGACACCCCTTTGTAGCCAGACAGCCTGTCTTGACTACCTGGAACCAGGATCTCACAACTCAATGCATTGTGGACTCTCAGCGTCTCCACTATGTCATGGCCAAGCAGCTTCTCAGGGCAGCTCTGCGTAAAATATTCAGCATCCCAGCAGGAGCAGGGTGTCACATCACATGTCATATCACTTAGGTTAAGCTTAGCCAGAAGTCACTGTTAACAGATGGATAATTTTTAATTAGAAATGCAAGTGAATGTAGTTCATGGATAGGGTAAGTTATAAAGAAAATACACAGATGTCATTCTGAATTAGGATAACTCTTTGCAGAAAGAAGTGCTTTCAGGTGCTCAGGACCTTGGCTAACTCATGAGTCTGACTTGTCTGTGCCCTAAATCAGGACTAAAGTGGCGAGAAAAGTCTGAGAACTTCATCTTCCCTGCCTCTGGTGTTAAAGGTGATTGAGGAGATAGCAGGGCTCTGGATACTGGCTCTGGGCACCCAGCACCTTCTTCCTTCTAAAGGGGACTGGACAGGCCTTTTTCACTTGCCCTCTGTAAACCTTGGCTTCTTTAGCCACTGTGATGGGAAAACACATAAAATTAAGTAATTTTGTATTCCCTCCTTCCCAAAGAACCTTTATTTATTGTTTTTACTTTACACCATGACTTCAGGATGTTATCCTGACTTTGGATGTTTAAGTGTTTTCCCATGCTTGCAGCCTCCCTGTAACCATACAAGCTAGAGATTAGTAGATACATATCACAGCAGGGGATCTGGCACAG